CACATTACGCCGTGTCATCAGCAGTTGAAAATATAATAGCCATTCTCACTCAAGCAGCTGAGTGTGTGGGAGCCCGGCGGAGGTTTGCGAGCTTGGCTAGAGGGTGTTGAAGTGTGCGCAGCCCAGTTCTGTGCTCTGGCCCGTCAGGAGAACCACGAACTGACCGAACTGCTACAGAACTACTGCCGTTGCTGCAGACAGCTGACCCAGTCACACACGCTGACATACGCAGTCCTCTGACTGCAAGAGCACTCAGAATCGTCTCTGGAGCTTCAGAGATGAACACCAGAAACAGCCAATGCGTGTGCGTGTGTGTGTGTGTGTGTGTTCTGTTCAGGTGTTGTCATATAAATAACAGTCCCCAATCAATAAACAGGACAGACAATAGGATTTTATTTATTTTTACACTACATTTTCACTGAAAGCTGACCGAATCCGACCCGAGCCCAAATACAATTTATACATTTTTGTCCCTGACGGGACCCGACGGGCTCGGATCGGGTAGCCACACTCTACTGTACAATGCAATACATAGAGGAAGAGAAGTGTGTTCCTCCTTGTCCACCGTGCAAATCAGAAAGAATGAATGATGCAACATTCAGCAGAAGTGAAGCAAACATTCAGACAACACATAGTACAGATAAAGCAAGATACAAAAACAGGCACAGACATGTAGTGCAATACACAGAACAACTATAAAAGAGTTATGAAAACAGAAAAGCATAAATGATATGTATGTACACTGCTAAAAAAAAATTAAGGTCCACGTAATGGTCACAGTATCACACCAAGTCAGTTAAATTTAAGGGATATCAATCTGTTCATTTAGGAAGCACAAGTGATTGTGAGTCAGTTTCACCTGCTTTGGTGCAAATGAAAGTGGCAACAGGTGCAATGGACAGGCAAAAGTAAGACAACCCCCAAAAAGGGAATGGTTTTACATGTGGTGGCCACAGACAGTTGCTCTTGCCTTGTCCTTCCTGATTGATTCTTCTCTAGTATTGTGTTCTGCTAGTGTCCTTGTCACGACTGTTAGCATGAGGCGTTACCTGCAGCCCAATCAGGTTGCACAGGTAGTCCAGCTCCTCTAGGATGGCACAGCCATACGTGCGGTCGCAAGAAGGTTTGCTGTGTCTCCCAGCACAGTCTCAAGAGCATTGAGGAGATACCAGGAGACCGACCATTACACAAGGAGAGCTGGACAGGACCGTAAGAGGGCATCAACCCAGCAGCAGGACCAGTATCTGCTCCTTTGTGCACGGAGAAACAGAAGGAGCACTAACAGAGCATACAAAATGACCTCCAGCAGGCTACTGATGTGCACGTTTCTGACCAAGAAGCAAACTCCATGAAGGTGGCATGGATGTCCTCTAGTGGGACCTGTGCTCACAGCTTAGCACCATGCAGCTCAATTGGCATCCTCCAACTTGACAGGTTTGCGAAGGCATAGAACCGTGCTGTGGTAATTCTACTTTGTGCATGCATGTGCTTTGCCACCCTGATGGCCGAACAGGTTGACCTTAACAGAGGGCTGCCGTGTCTAAGGATTCAAAGGCACATTGCAGGTTTTCAGCAGGGCACCGACCTCAACAGACACCATGGCTTCTGGATAGCACGTATGGTGACGGTCATGGGGATGACATCGTAACTTTCTGTTGGTGCCATTACACAGGTTGAACCCAGCTCTGGGCTGTGGGGTGTGTGGTTTCTATCAGAGCACAGCTGGTTCAATCTAAAGTAGGTTGGAACGGTAGACAATGATAGTTGCTTTCGTAAATCCAATCTGATGCTCTACACTAAAATGAGAGCCCCATTGTTCTAAGAGAGAGAGCATTCACACTCAGGCCCAATAGAACCTATGTGCACGCATTATGACTAAAGAGATGTCAGACCAAGGAGCACAGGACTGCTCCTCAAGCAGTTAGGGGTTCAGAGCCATGCTCAAGGGGCACCTCAGCAGTGGAGAGGAGGCAGACAGGCACCTCTCCATCCACCAGTCATCTGTGTAGGGACTTGAACCAGCAACCTCCGCTTCCCAAGCGGGAACATATACCTGAAATTGAAAAAGGTATTTTTTCTGATAACGAGTGTAAAAATAATCTGAATTCTATCCACTGTGATTATATTAAGTGAGAAGTGATTCTCTTCCAGGCAGTGTAGATGAGATCTGAGCCTGTGGTTCTGCCCTCTGATGGCAGAACTACAACAACCAGCTTGTCCACACTCTGGTCCTTGACCTCTATAAGAAATACAATACTCCCATACTACCACTGACCTGATGATCATGTTGCTCTGTGGCATGGTTTGTTTTTGTTGTCTTGCCATTAAATGAACACATGGCACATTGAGACCTCTTACCTTTAAACCTCATAACATCACAGGTGAATGAACCTTTTAGAGAACTAATGCATGGAGTTTGTATTTTTGTAAAACAAAAACATATACCAGGTTCCCACTGTCTAATATTGTTTCATTGGTGGAGCTCAGATGGTTGTATGCATCAGTGTCCTGGTGTGCTGTATGTTAGTGTGTTTGTGCTTGCCAATGGCATAATTTTGGCCCGCTGCATGCGTTCTTGTGCACTTACGTCCTCATCTCTATCTTCTCATGACAACACATCTGAATAAACTTGAGCTGGGTATGGACTGAGTCCTGTTAATGCCTTGCACCTGTCACACACTGCTCCAACCTGAATACTGCATTTCCACCTAGGACAGTCTGAGGGCACAAACTGAAAGCCAAGCACATGTGCCCACCAACAAACCAAACTTGTCTGCTGTTATTTTCATTCAGTTGAAATGGGTACTGAGATGGGCCTAACATTAGTGAGCACATTATTATAGAAGTTGACTGTCTCATTTCTTCTCTATATTACACTTCATTTTTAAGAGTCTCTGCTGACAGTCACATCAGTATAAAGCTGTGGTTTCTCCAAAACCACTTAATTCTACATGATGAATATGGGAGTGTGAGGCAATAATGTTAGGCTCTGATCACACAGAAAGCATTTTACCAGCTGGAGGCGGCTTTTTGTAATTGGTTTTAATGAGAATGCAGCTTTTTACTTGCTGTTTTTGCATATCTACGAGCCTCACGTTTCTGCGTTCTAGGCACCTGATGTTTTTGCTGGAGCGCTCTGAACCCTGGGAGTTGAAAAAACTTAAACTCAGAGCAGAAAAGCACCTCACATCATCTCCACTTTTTCCCATTGTCCAGTGGGATGATTTGAGAGGCAGGCCTACTGTGGTGGTCATGACCACAAGTTTACAGTTGGTAAATAATGAAGGAGAAATTGGTGGTGCTGAGTCACTTGGCAGCACCAATGGGCACCCAGGAGTTAGTATTCATTTTGTCAAACTGCCCCTGAATCATCTGAAAATATGCCTGGAAATGGCCATCATGGAGGCAAAGCTCCTGGACCAACTGATGGCACTCCCCGTGATCCATCCTCTTTTTTTTTTTAGGGTCTCATGTACCTACACAGATCTCCATTTCCCTGTGTCCAACAAACTATTTGCTGACAGCCTCTCACCCTCATTTGCAACCTGCACAACACTTTGTGTGATTGGGGCCTTATCCTGCAGAGTATAATAGTTTTGCCGTTGTTAAAAGCAGCCCCCAGTGACTTAAATTCATGAAGAATGATCAACTTTTTTAGATTCTCTGTTTACCGTGGATGCATGTGAGAAAAACAGTCTTCTTTATGAATTCAAGGTAACAGCAGTTACTGATGTACAAATGGTCATTTTGCATGTGAAGTATTCCTTTAAATAACAGTTGAACAGTGTATGCCATTCTTTAAGGTATTCACATGCCAAAGACAAAATTTGGCATACACATTTTAATGATAGTTAAGAGAGCAACATGTATGTACTCTTGTACTCTATGTACTCTCTCTTTATACATTTCAGCCATGGTGGAACTGGGTGCACTTGCATGAGCCTGATTTCCACCCCTGCAGTCATCTATGATAGGCCTTTTCCACTGTCACTTTAGGCCACGGCAATTCAAGCCATGCCGCGCCAATTTGCATTTCCATTATCAGTTAAGACACGCCGTGCCAGAGATGGAACTTCTCCAGAGTAGGTCCAAAAGCTGGGCCACCCACCCTCAAGTGGGTAGTGGTGACGTCTCGCTGACCACAGCCAACCCCCGATGACCCCCCTTCTCCCTCACAAACAAGTGTGATGCAAGACTATACTCACCTTAGTCTACAGGAGACCAGAGAGAAAGGTTTATTGTCTCTGTGTGTTCAGCTGTCAGTAATTTTGTCACCACAACATTTCGTTATTTACTTGCTTCACAATAAAATAACTGTCTGTAATCTGTAAACAATAATTTGCAGTGATATCACAGTGATTTAGTTCATGGCACTCATATAGCACTCATGTCAAAACAGTTTTTGCAAGTGCTTCACAATAGATGATAAAATAAAATCATAAACACAGGGAAATAAAATGATCCCTCCAATGTAAAAAAAAAAAAAAAGTTAAATACATCACACAAACACATTTGATTTACTTGTTATGGATTGATTTGTAGACTTGAAATACATATATACTTCAAATTGGCTAACAAGCTAAAATTTTACATGACCCCTATTGTAAATGGCCACCATGATTTACACTTAATGTATATACTGTATACATATATACACAGATGGGTCATAACTAAAACCCAACATGCAGTGTGTTAGACATACAACACCACTTCCCTCCAGAACAGCTTCAGTGCTCCTCGTTATAGAATCTCCAAGTATGTGCAAATGAGCTGGAGGGCTGACTAGTATTCTTTGATTCAGGTCCACACTGCCTTCACCTGTTCCTTTGGGGTATGGAATATGAAAGTGTACTGTAATCTTAGTCGCCTCTATTATGTTAGCATTAAAAATCCTGCACAGACTGGTATTTGTAAATATGTTAAACATCAGTAGTTCAGAAGGTGAATGTATGTGTATCAAAGTTTGAATGACACGTAACTGTTTTATACTTTACCCACAGATCATCCAGAAGCCCTCTCATGATCTGAAGCAGCAGTTGGCCAACTACTCCAAGCGGGTGGCAGGCTCTGTCACTGAGCTCATCCAGGCTGCTGAGGCCATGAAAGGTATCCTAACCCTTTATCAGGAACAACAGAATGACAGGGTGTCTTTTAATGTCTCACTTTACATTGAATGGTGTCAGAGTTTTTATTGATCTGTCTAAATGGGTCTGGATCTACCTGCTTTGAAACAACATGACCCTCATCCATTTAAAATGAACATTAGTTTTTTGGTAAAAGTAACACAAAAGTAGTGTAATAAGTAACTTATTACTCTACACAGAGTAGTATTGTAAAGTAGTTGATTACTTTCAAATGAAGGTAAGCAGTAATATGTAATATATTATATTTTGAGAGTAACTTGTCCACACTAAATAACACCAATCCCTACCAGACATTTGTCAGCACTAGTGAATCTTAATCATGGTAATAGACAATTGCAGGTTTCATGCATATGTAAATGACATTTAAAAAATACTTATTATGTACAATATCAAATTAGAATCTCAACAGGTCATTTTTAAGCTCTTGGTATCCAACTTAAAATTGGTACCCCCCGTGAAAATATCAAAGGAAGACAGCAGTGCACACTGTCTTGAGCATGTCTGAAATAGCCCAGCATCAGGTCTTATTTAGAGCACTTCATGCAAATGAGCCCTGACAGCAATTTGAAGTAGGATTAGTAGATACTCTCCATAGAGTTATACAGTTTCACACAGCTCTGGTCTGGGATCCCCCTCCGAAGAGTCAAGTACAAATTACATTGAACCCAAGGCAATTCCATGAATGCATCATCTGTCAAATGGAAGGAAAGTCATCCTCAGGGCTTAATATTGCAGATTAATGTCTTTCTGCTCCACTCTAAGAGACATTAGCTGCAACTGAATCCTGCTGCCCACCTGGCTGTAGGTTCATGACTTGGTCTAGCAGATGACGCAGATGGGACGACCATAATGGGTCTGAGAAGTGAAAGGTAGTATGTTAGAATAACATAATCATTTGCTTTTTCAGTCCACTAGATACATTTTGCTGCAAAAAAAAATGGTTGAGGTGAGATGAACAGAGTGAAAACTTTGTTATTAGATAAAATAGATGTTGACAAAGTTTTTCTTTGGGGACATAATTTACATTTGAAAAAGGTTAATGAATAGCAATATATTTTATCGCAAATCTCAGCATATTGCAACATATTTAAAATCACAATGAGATCCACAAAAGAAGATATGAGATGCTGATGAAATTATTTTGAGTCATTAACGAATCAGCATGCTAACTTTGCCCATCTTATTTTTAACAGACGCTGGAGGTCCTGATTTAGAATTACTGTATTAGGCTGATGAGCATGAAATTTAGGGCTATAATCACTCATTAACATTGGAGGGGACCATATTCAATTGACACCTTTTGCAATCCTTCAGGGCAGCCGTCTTCAATGTTTTTTTAGGCCAAGGACTCAAAGAGAGAAGATGCAATATGATGCACTACATATATTGTATAAAACTGAGTTGCACTTGAGGTAATTCTTCATTTTCTGGTCTCTTCTCATTTGTGCTTGCCTGTAGCTAATAAGTCAGCAGCAGTTGTAGCATGGCTAGGTATGTTAGCCTCACCCTCTGTACTTTCACTGGCTGGTTCTGAGGGGGACCATGTATCAGATTCTCTTGATCTAAAAGTTACAAAACGATCCATTATGGATTACAATAATGCCCATACACTTGGAATAATAGAACAGAATAGAATAAACTTTATTCATACCTAAAGGGAAATTCAGCTGTCCAGCAGCTCATAAAAGACAAAAACGCAACAACCACACTTCCTCCCATCAACAACAGCAACAGAGTGGTATTAAAATAGACATAAAATAAAAAAAAAATTAAAATAAGTGCATAAATAGATTAAAATAAAATTGCCCGTTCCACATTCCAGTCCAGTTGTGGCTAATGTGATGTGTGTGAGTGTGTGTGTGACTGGATTCAGGAGGTGTTAAACAGTCTAACTGCCGTGGGCGTTTCCAATATAGTTATATAATACAGCTAATTAGTCAATATATGAAAAAAAATAGCATTAGCTAGCTCATATGATTGCAGAAAGATTCATGAGTAACAGTTAGCCTAAGTTGTGCTGTAACCCAAATTAAATGGGTTTTATGAATAGGCCATTTTATCTTCAGTAACAATATGTTTGATTCAGTAATCAAGTAGTAATTTGGCACCCCTCTTCAGTAACTCAGAGGAACCCCTAGTGGGTCACGGACCCCCTGAAGACCCAGGCTCTGTCTCCCAGGAGGCATTTTTAGAAACTTAACAGCTCAACTGACCTTTTTGGAGAATTTTGAAACAAAAATCTTTGATTAGGGGTTCTCAAAGTTTTGATGACTGAGTGTTATTTTAGGGAGCTAGCAAGGATTGAGTGTCACATGAAAAGTGCACACACTTTTTATGAGATATTATAGTGTGACTTTTTTTTTTTATAATATATTTTTGGGGGGCATTTTTAGCCTTTAATGGATAGGACAGACAAGTGTGAAAGAGGACGAGAGAGTGAGTGACATGCAGCAAAGGGCCACAGGCTGGAGTCGAACCCGGGCCGCTGCTGCAACAGCCTTGTACATGGGGTGCCTGCTCTACCACTAAGCCACCAACGCCCCATAGTATGACATTTTTGATAACTTTTACACACTATACTATGACATTTTTTATGACGTGTTATGACATTCTAAAACTTAACAAATAAGTCAACAGTGATAAAGCCTACATAATACTCATATTACATGGTAGATTTTCACTTTTTAATACATTTGAAAGTAATGAAATAGAGAGAATGCATAGCAACACCACTTACACAAACCACACACAGAACTGCAGCACACTGTAATACTAGAACCGTTAATAACAATAATAATAATGGTAGTAAGTTAAGTTTATGATTACATTCGCAAATGATTATTTCAGACTGCAGTGCTGGGTTCCATTTTGTACCATAGCAGTTTTTTTTCTTCATTGTTTGTCAATATATTTGGGTGAATATGTTGAACATTTAAGAATATTGGTAGGATTTTTATTTTAACACTACAAGTCACATTCACCCATTCACACACACATTCATACATTGTTGGCGGAGGCTACCATAAAAGGTGCCACCTACTACTCACACTCACACACCGATGGAAGCATCATCAGGAGCAATTTGGGCATCTTGCTCAAGGATACTTCAACATGCTCACTGGAGGAGCTGGGGATCAAACCGCTGATCTTCCAATTAGAATGGATGAGAGTGGACGACCCACTCTACCTCCTGAGCTACAGCTGCACTCAATATATGTGGGATAACCCACTGTGTCCTGTGCTGTTCTACATCACAGTGCACTCAGGGCTTATTAGGCCACTGTGTGTGTTAATTTCTTAAAATTGTGAAGCTCAGTATGGATTGTCCATTATGTACTAAATTGACTCACTCACCAGTGCACACTTCATTGAAACAAATGTAATAGCAATAATATAGTCCAGTACATGCATTGAATGAGACTCAAATTGCTTTACATAAAAAAAAAAATTTAAAAAAAGAAGAATTTTTTTTATATAAAAACTATATCTGGAAGATTGACAGAGGACTGGGCGGCTGTGGCTCAGGAGGGTAGTGGGTTGTCCACCAATTGGAAGATCAGCAGTTCCCGGCTCCTTCAAAAGTATCCCTGAGCAAGAACCCCAACTGAACCCCAAATTGCTCCAGATGGCTGTTCCATCTGTGTGTGAGTGTGTTAAAAACTGAATAGCAGGTGGTACCTTGAAACGTAGTCTCGGCCACTTGTGTATGAAAGTGTAAAAAGCGCTTGGAGTGGTTGCAAGACTAAAATGGCATTATACAAGTGCAATTCCATTTACTAAATTTGTGCAGCAGTACATTAAAAGATCTGAGAATGTGTGATATAAAGTGGTCCCAGGCCCTAAACATCTGTTTAAGAAGCAAATAAATTCTAGATGTTGAAAGTCATGATATCATTACCATGACACCAACTTCTGCTGATAGAAGTCCTTTGGTAGAGTTTCAAATGTGGGTTGTTTTTAGGCACAGACTGTTTGTGTGTGTGTGTGTGTTGTAGGCACAGAGTGGGTGGACCCAGAGGATCCCACCGTCATCGCAGAGAATGAGCTGTTAGGAGCAGCGGCAGCTATTGAAGCAGCTGCCAAGAAACTGGAGCAGCTAAGGCCCAGGACCAAACCCAAGGTTAGAAGGCTTTATCCAGAGCAGCAGCAGTCACACTGAGCCTGTTAACCTCACCACAGGGTCACATAAAGTGTGTGTGCTGCTGTCAGCTCTTAACACTACAAGTGATGGCTGTCCCACAGCTCTGACCCTGGTAGCAATTCGAAAGTGGTTGTGGACACCAGGTTTTCCTATATTGTAGACCAACCTGTTCACTTGTTAAGGATGATTGTCTGAATAAATCTTCTGTAGATCATCTCAACCCTGTAACACAGCATGTTTACTTTACTGGTTTGCCTCTCTTGTAAACAGGAGGCAGATGAGAGTTTGAACTTTGAGGAGCAGATTCTGGAGGCTGCCAAGTCCATCGCAGCTGCCACCAGTGCTCTGGTCAAAGCTGCCTCAGCAGCACAGAGGGAGCTGGTGGCTCAAGGGAAGGTATGTCTGAACCCAGTGAAAGGATGGATATCCTGTGAGATCAACATTTAAATCTTCCACAGAAAAATGGTTAACTGTGAGTTTCTAGTGTGCTGTGCACCATCAATTTAAAAGGTTAAATGATAACACCTACCAGTCCATTTTTAGAGCACACCATTCTTTCAGCAAAAACAGCTTATTTTTGAAACACCATTGTTGCGATCCAAATGAGAAGGTTTTGGACCCACCCAGGAGCTAGATAACAGTAACATATAGAGGAAAACTCTAGAAAGATATGTTTTAAAACTGAAACTGCAAAAATGACTGCACTATGTTAGAGTCTTAGACCGTTCACACCAAGACACATCGCTATAGACACAGACGCTTCAAAAAAGCCTTGGCAAAGTGTGTTGAGCAAAACAGCTTGGTGTACCTGTGGAGCGGCTTGGGTGCGCAACTAGAAGATCAAATGTGATTAAAGGAAAAACACAAAAAGTTTACAAAAGCACGCACATCCAGATGATAAGAAACTAGGTGCTGGACAAGAGATCATGCAAGAGACAAAACAGAGTCCGTGCACTAGACTGTGCTCCCATAAATATTTAATTAAATTACAATGGAGGTGACATTTCGAGCTTTACATTGATGAAGTGAATGACTGATGAAGACATCAGGCTAGCTAGCCTCCTGGTTGCTCATGCAACCCCATACATGTGTTTGCCAATTAGTATTTAAATAATGTGGTGGCCTGCATTGTAATTAAATACTGCTAATTGTCTGCATTTGCAGTTGTCCAACTGTTCCACCACACCTATCAAAATTAAAACAGTAGTGAGTCCTGTCTCTTGCTATTTTTTTTAACAGCAGCCTGGGCCAAGTGTGACATTGATTAGTGGTGCAAATCCACGTCTTGCGCTGAAACATTGAGAATATTTTAATTAAAACCACTAGAAAAAGGTGGGTAGCAATGCACCAAGCCAATGGTCAGACATTGGTGAGTGTCAGTCGCTCGTCGGCCACCGTTGGCCCCTATCAGCCCCTATCAGGGTTTTTTTTTTTTTTTTGGTGGCTACACAGAGCTTATCGATGAATGAGTCAATCATATTGGCAGGTGAGCTCAGCACACAAGAAGAGAAATGAAAGTGAGGAAAGTAAACAAAGAGGTAAAGTCAAGAGAAAGTGAGAACAAAACAAACTATTTCCATAAGGTCAGGTTATTTTCCTTTTGACAATTACAGACTACCGCCATCTGTTAGTGTGGAGAGTTATTTCCTCTCCAGATCATACGTGCTGGTTGGCAGTAGTTTTTTTTTGCGGTGTGTATGTGTGCAACTTTTTGGCTGAAACACCCGGAACATGAGGCAACACAAAAGTCAGCTTTTGTGGCCACTAATTCTCTGAACTCAGTTTGGTGTGACCGGGGCCTTCAGGGAAGCTACACAAAAGAGATGTTATTGTTACTTTTTTGCAAATGAGTTTTTTTATGTTTAGAGTCATCCTACTTATTTGGGAATTTTATTTTTTAAAAAACAGTACCGCTGTATAGGTGCACATTAATTATTTGTCTTGATCTATCCTGTCACATTCCTCCAGTCTTAGTTTTCCTTCCATTCCTAATTTTACTTCTTCTACTTGAACCAATCAGAAGAGCCCTGCAGATACATTAAATTTTTTTTTCTCTTAAATTTAGTATGCTTGTCCATGTCATTCTTACTCCTAAAAACCAGCAGGCAGTTTCCAACATTACCCTCCTCTGTGCATTTTGTTTTTGATATCTATGTATGTTCTGGCTTCACAGACTTAAAGACTGATGATTCTTAGCCAATTTTCCTGTTCTTTCAGGTGGGAGCAATCCCAGCCAATGCAGTGGATGATGGACAGTGGTCTCAGGGGCTGATTTCAGCTGTAAGTCTTTTCCTTCAAGATTTATTTAAGAGTGTTTTTAAATGATCAGTAACATCTCAACATTGATGCTTTCGACTCCTCAGGCCCGAATGGTCGCAGCAGCAACCAACAACCTGTGTGAGGCAGCCAACTCTGCGGTGCAGGGACATGCCAGCGAGGAGAAGCTCATTTCTTCAGCCAAGCAGGTGGCAGCCTCCACTGCTCAGCTGCTGGTGGCCTGCAAGGTCAAGGCTGACCAGGACTCCCAGACCATGAAGAGGCTCCAAGTAAGCACTGCATGTTAATGTCTACTAAGCTGCATTATTGCACTTGACCTAATTTATTTCTTTGCCGAATAAAGGACAGAGCAACTGTCAGAGGGGAAAATGAGAGCTCAGTCACACCTAGAAGTCAAAACTCCAGTGACACTTGTAGTGTACAACTATCAGTAGACCAACATGTTTCAGCTTGTGACCATCATCAGGGTCAACATGAAGGCCACAAGTCATAAGTTGTTGGTTGGTCTTCAGACTCTTTCCTTTCTCCATGTACCTTGAAAGGAGGAGCTGGAACTCCATACTCTGCTCACCCAGACACCCCTATAAACTGATGAAGGCACCAAAAGGCGATAGCCAAGGCCAGAAGCAATATATATGTACATATGTATGTCCATCCCATTATTGTGAATGCGATATATTCTCTGATAAGTTAATGTGTACTCACCTTTTTCTGATCCAGATGGTCAGGAGGTTTTTACCATGAGCCATATTATCCGCAGAGTTCTCTACCTCTCCACAACAAACCAGGTTATTTAATCTGGCAAAAACACAGAATAACACAGTTTTACATTACAAATCCATGTATTTCCGACACAGTTTGGCATGTTGCTGCGGGTGGCTAGTCCAAAACATGCTTAAATGCGGTCACCTTTTTTCTCTGGTAACACTAGATCCAGAAGTTCAGGAGGTTTTACTGGGACCTGAATGATCTGCAGAGATCTCTTCATCTCAAAAAACAAACCGACCAGGTGATTTCAACCATTAAAAACACTGAATAAAAGCAGTTTCACGTTACAAATCAGTGCAACCCAGGAGCTGCTCCCTGCAGCTGGACTTCTTATTACAGTGGCCGATATGAAAACATGAATGCTCCTATGTAAAGCAAGTGTTTGGTTTGTCCGTTCTGGGCTACTGTAGAAACATGGCGATCTTCATAAACTAGGGCCCGCTCCCTGTGTAGAGCTCCCTAGAGAACACAACACTTCTTATTTTTAGGTGATTATACACTAAGGAAAACATACTTATATACTATATTCTATATCTGCCAATATATGCCCCTACATCCTACACACTGGACCTTAATTACAGAGAATATGAGAAAAATAGAGGCAAGGAATCTGCATTAGTTAATATGGCAACAGAGTTTGTTTGAACTTGAGCCATTTTCCAGAGGCTGGAAAGCCAGGGTGAGGTCCAAAGTTAGCTCCCCAACCCTTTAATCCTGCTTCATTACACTGACATCTGATACAGGCAAATGCACAGCAAGACATGCAATCCTCATCTATACATATGTTTCAAACCTACAGTACCTGCTGAGGGAACAATAGTTACATCACAACGTAAGTGATTCTGCAACAGCTGAGAGTGCTGGACAGTCTATTTATAGGAGGGAGTTTGAGTGTTTAGGGTTACAGGTGAGCTGCATTATCTGCACAGCTGCTACATCAGGATTAGTGTGCTCTGTATTTAGCACAGGTAAGAGTGCTTTTTACATACTGCTTCATTACAGTAATCTTTAAAGGACTACTCCACAGATTTACTACGATTGTACTTCCATAAAGTTGGCGAACTCCTAAGAGACAGATTAAAAAAAAGCAACAGAGTCAGAGAGACTCTGACTTTTAGTCCCTAGTATGACTCACTACAACCTGTATTTCCCATAATGCAATCAATAGTATCTTTTTGGTAGACCCTCCCTGCCTGGTAATTGCCCACATATTTCAAACAACATACCTGCAGTTTGTAACTCAGGCCTTCTTGTTTCCAAGCCTAAACAAAGTTAGCACTGATGATATCACTAGGCATGACAGCATCATGGTTATTTCCTCAGACACAGAGAGAGTTACACTGTTTTCCATTTGGCTGAAGAGTAAATTCACCTTTATATGTAAAAGTGGTGGAGTACCACTCTTAAAAGTAAGTTTATCTTCTGAAACTGTCTGAAAGCACTGATTCACTTGTGGAAATAATGGAGCACACAGGGGTTGTTGTGACCTTTATGTGTAACTGATGCGGTCAGTCCCAAGACATTACAGAAACTACAAGTATCTCCTGTCACCCCATCCACCCAAAACTACTATATTTAAGGCTGTGTGTATGCTAGCTGTGAGCACATCAGCCTGCCCAGGCCATCTCATGTTCTCTGATCCAATCAGCAGTGGCTTATCTCCTCCTCTTCTGGGCCTGCAGCTGCCACCACAGTAATTCCCATACATTTATGTCTACAGGAGCTCTGGAAACAATCCACCAGTCCAGCCATGGCACCAGAAGTGGAAACATTAGCCCTGATCTATGATTACACCAGCAGCATTTGCTCTCTTCACTCTTCGCCATGGTACTTTTTAGGGTTGTAATTATCCAGAGTGATGAGTAATGTGTAGTCTCTCAGCTGAATGTGTGAATATCTGAGGAAAGGTGGCTGTTCGGATTCTTCCTAATGACTGAAGGAGGCTCAAGGAAAGGACTGGCATATACACTGAGTCACCAGTTTTTTGTTTTTGTTTTGTTTTTGGTCTTACCGTATTTAGCATACAACCTGGGAGTGTTAACATGTTATTCCAAAGGATAACATAATGGTAATCCAAATTGCTGGCTTTTTTGTCACGGTAGACAAATGACAAAGGAAAATTTTACATGGGAAATATGTGTTTGCATTGCTGTTAATATTGGATGTAAAGGCTATTTGCCTTTGCTTTGACACTTGTGAAGCTCTTTACACCATGTTTCACGCTGTGTCCTAACTGGATGCGATGCGAGTGTCAGCGACTAAATGCATTTGATTGCATTGTTTTCTATATGACTATCCTAACTGCCTGCAAATGACATGGCGCACAGCAGCATGATGAGGTGTGGCGTTTTGAGCTGAGCATTTGTTGGATGCCCCATTTCTATTTTTATTCTTTTGCTCGCATTGACAGTGCTGCGATGGACAAGGAACAGCTGATTAACAAAGTTGAAATGAGGAGTTACCTATATGATACCTACTTGTTTCACTACAATAATTAAGTTGGCATCTGGCTGGAGGGAGATCACCAGGGAGCTAAACAGGAGCCAAAGGACCCACAGTCACAATCACGATACTGAGGTCACGATACGATATTATTTCAAAATGCTGAGTATTGCGATACAATAAATTGTGATATATTGTGATTTATTACCTCTTTTTCCAACTGCAAATTATGTCCTCAAAGGAAAACTTTGTCAACACCAGTTTTTTCTCATAAGATAGAGTTTCAGTCTGTTCATCTGACTTCAATCATTTTTATTGCAGCAAAATGTGATGCAAAGCAGACAGACTGACAAACACCATCATAAAATCTGTCAGAAATGCTGCATACACCTGACAACTGTTGGTAGATTTAAAGCCCTCTGCAAGGCCAGATTAAACACATGAGCCAAACACTTCACACGCAGGTATCCCGCTAACTGAATGGCAACATCCATGTTAAAAGCGTTGTCTGTTACAACAACAATCCCCCCCAATTCTTGTGCTGCATTTTGCAGGAGGTCTGCAATGTTTGTTCCAGTGTGACTTTAATGTACTGTTGTAGCTTGGAGTATGTGAGACAGCAGTCACCAGTCATCTGTGAGATAATGTGCCATTATGGTCATGTAAGAATCCACTGACCTTGAAGTCCAGGCATCACAAGTTAATGCCACCCCTCCTACTGTTATCAAAGATTCCTCAACTTTATGCTTCACTTCTCTGTAGAGCTTTGGTATGGCTTTGTTGGTGATAAAATGTCAGGACGGGTCACATACCTGGGTTGCAGTGTTTTTAGCATGTAACAAAAGTCTTTGTTTTCAACAACGCTGTATGGGCGCAGATCATTACACATGTAAGTTGGTGATGTACTGTGTTATTTTCTTAGCTCTCTCAGTTTTGTAGTTTTGTCAAGCTAAGTGTGTTAAGTGTTGGTTGATATTTTGGCGGAGCATGGTTTAGCGTTAGCTTGGCCGTCAGTGGCTAATGTATCTCACAAGAGAGAGTACACCCCTCACATTTCAGCAACCATTTTATCATAACTTCTCAAGGGACAATACTATAGAAATGAAACTTGGAAATACTTTAGAGTAGTCAGTGTACAGCTTGTATAGCAATATAGATTTTCTATCCACAGAAAATTACTCAACACACAGCCATTATTGTCTAAACAGCTGGCAACACAAGTGAGTACACCCCTAGTGATACCTGTACATGTTGTTCAAACATGCAAAGCCACCTATCCGATTCATCGTGTTCATGTTTTTGCCCGCTTGAGTGGACCATACAAATTTGTGTGTCATGGATTAGAGCTGTTAAATTTGGTGCTTTGGGTACAATTCTCTCATACTGGCCACTGGATGTTCAACATGACACCTCATGGCAAAGAACTCTCCGAGGTAGTGAGAAATAGAATTGTTGCTCTCCATGAAGATGGCCCAGGCTATAAGAAGACTGGTAACACCCTGAAACTGAGCTACAGCACGGTGGCAAAGGTCATACAGCGGTTTTCCAAGATGGGTACCACTCGAAACAGGTCTCGCCAGGGTCGACCATAGAAGTGGAGTCCTTGTGCTCTGCGTCATATCCAAAAGTTTGCTTCAAAAAACAGTCACATAAGTGCTGCCAGCATTGCTGCAGAGGTTGAAGAAGCGGGAGGTCAGCGTGTCAGTGCTCAGACCATACGCCGCACACTGCATCAAGTTGGTCTGCATGGCCGTCGTCCCAGAAGGAAGCCCTTTCTGAAGCTGGCTCAAAAGAAAGCTTAGCGAATACAGTTGAAGTCTATAGGGGGTCAGTAGCCTACTAGGAAAAGTGAACAAATAAATGTTACAGAAATCCTGAAGCTGGCATTTCTGCCTGTGCAGTTAAAATAAACATGTTTAAACATTAATTCAAAAAAGTCCTTTTTAGTCGTTTTAGAAGAAGTTTGATACACAGAAGGATAGTGTGTTCTCTCGCGAGATGATGTCACAGCCGGGAGGAGGTGAAGGGTCAGGGAAATGCTTAGTATGCTATTTACAGAGATAGCACTGGCGATCTGAACCAGTCAGTGGCGAAAAAAAGCACTTTTAATGTGCAAACTTATATGGGACGCATTTGCCCCCATATCTACCTCGCGGCTGCCGGCTGCATCCACCTCCCTCAATACTGAACCAATTTTAAAACGAGTTGTACCTATGAATCATACGCACACATACACATGGGGAAATAGGGCCCAGGTTGAAAAATACCGAAGTTATCCTTTAACATAAAGTCACAGGCATCAACATGGCCCATAACACAGATAACATGAAACTATTACTGTTGAAACTATGAAGCTACTATTGTTATAATGTGAAACTTTTCATGTTCTTACAATATAAGTTATCACATTTTAATGTGAAACTTTTCACATTTTTACAATATAAATTATCACATAACGTGAAACTTTTCACGTTTTTACAGTATAAATTATCACGTTATAACCTGAAACTTTTCACGTTCTTACAATATAAGTTATCACATTTTAACATGAAACTATATTGTTGTAACGTGAAAAACAATATTTTTTCCTGATGTGGCAGCAATACACTTCCGTATGGACCCAAAAAGCAATTGATTTTATTATTTTTGTACCACAAAAGTTGTGTCAATATGTGTATTTGCAAAATTAATACTGTTCATAATCAAAGACTGATACTTGCTGTGTATTGATACAATAATGCCATGCAAAATATTGCAATACAATGCTGTATTGATTTTTTTTTCCCCCACTCCTAGGAGATGGTGGTGTGATATAGTATGGTAGCTACAACAATGATATCTTTAAGTTACCCATGATGGTATTGTTGTGACTATGAACAATAAGGAAGTGGTTTGTTTACATGATGTGACAGAGTTCCATACTTTACGGACTGAGTGTGGACAGAGAGCATCCGCAGTAACGCAATGCGCACGCACTCAGTTAATGGTGTTAAGGGGCTCTATGTTAAATTCAGATTGTATGAGTTGTCTGGACACATTACTCAACATGGAGGCGGCTGAGCCGCCTGCTACCAGCTAATAGTGTTAACTCCATAAATGGCACTAAATAACCGCAACAGTGCTGATAAAGCTAACAGTGTTAACCAGGGGGGAACTGGAGGGTGGGCGCTTCACTTCAGTCACAACACTCCCACCATCAACAGTAAACAGCATACAAGCACAGTGCAAAGTGGTGGCGATAGCTACCCAGTGGGATACACATATGCACTAACATGCTTGCGTGTCCGGTCTGGACGAATTCATACGCTAGTTATGACAAAAGCTTCACACAAATGTCTAAAAGGATAAAATAATAATGATAATAATACATTTGATTTATATTGCACTTTTCAGGATACTCAAAGACACTTTACAGAGAACAACAACAGCAATCCAAAAAATGAGGAGATGAAATAATCCATAGGGACGTAGAGAGGGAAATAATGCAGAAAGGATAAAGTATGCTGATTTTAGATGTTGTAGGCAGTTTTGTAAAGGTGTGTTTTGAGGGATTTCTTGAAGGTGAAGCGTGAGGAGTAGTCCCTGATGTGTTTAGGGAGTGAGTTCCAGAGAGTGGGGGCAGCAATGGAGAAGGCCCTGTTCCCCACAGGTGCAGTGGTTAGTCCTGGTTGGGGGGTGCAGGAGGTTAGTATCAGCAGGCTTGAGAGTGCTGGAGGGAGTGTGCCAGTAGAGGAGCTCAGACAGAGGCAGGTTGTGGAGAGCTTTGTAAGTGATGGGACTGAAGTGGATACGCTGGGGGATGGGGAGCCAGTGGAGGTTATGAAGGAAGGGTGTGATGTGGTCACGTGAGAGGACGAGCAGCTGAGTTCTGGATATATTGTAGTTTCTTGAGTGTTGTGGCTGACAAACCGTAGAGGAGACTATTGCAGTAGTCCAGGCTGGAAGTGATTAATGCGTGGATGAGAGTCTCTGCAGCTGAAAAGGAGAGGGACGGACGGAGTTGGGCGATGTTTCTGAGATGGAAGAATACTGTTTTGGTGATGTGCTTGATATGTTGGTCAAAGGAGAGGGTTTGATTAAAAGAAATGACACCAAGGTTATGGACATGGGGGGAGAAGAGCACAGTGCAGCCGTCAATGGAGAGGGAGAAGTTGTGGGTGGATTTAATAAGAGATTTGGGACTGATGATGATGACTTCTGATTTGTCACAGTTGAGTTTGAGGAAGCTGGTGTGCAGCCAGGATTTTATTTTGGTGATGCAGTTGGTGAGGGCAGAGTGAGTGGCAGGAGTGATGGCTTTTGTGGAGATGTGGAGCTAAATGTCGTCGGCGAAGCAATGAAACTGAAGTCCATGATGGCGGATTATTTGACCGAGGGGGAGAACGTACAGGATGAGGACGAGGGGGCCGAGAACTGAACCTCGGGGAAATGATGAAGTGATGACATTTTATATCACAAAGGTCAACGTCACCGTGACATAACAATGTTCTCCATAAATTACTTCTCTGGCTATTACCCGCTGTCATATCTCAGGAACAGAAGGGGAGACATTTGGTCAGATGCTGAATTAGTGACACTAATCTTGGGTGTCCACTGTCAAACTGTGCTGAATGTATAGATCCTCTGTGCTGCTGAGGGGGTGATATGTGTGAAACATCCATGTTTCACTGACATGGATGTTAACTGTAAAACCCTGTTGAGACCAAAGATTCGCAACGAGATGACTTGAAACAGGCAACTACTTGCAATGCGCTGTTCTGCAACATTGTAAAAACCTGCTGGTTTACACTAATGCAACTAGATGAGATGGTGTATTATCTCTGTGCAACAGCTCTCTGTACTTCCCTTCTGATTTCCAGCTTTTCAGCTGTATTTTGTGGCTGTATATAATTTGTAGCTTTTTGAAATATGAATGAGGACAGTGATAGTGAGATACTGGCCACAGTTGCATTCGTAGTGGTAATGAAATGTGGAAAAGCAGAAACAAGATGAGCGTCAGATGAATGTATTCATAATAAATACACCATAATATAAATAACCAGCACCAATTAATTTGTCAATTAGAATGCGTGTGTGTATTAGGGGTATATATCTTTCATTCTTCTTAGACCTTGCCACATGCATCTGGGACTTGCCACCTGAAATTGTTGTTCTACTTTCAGTCTGTTGTCCCTTTTGCCTCTTTTACTGCTTTTCTTACATTGTAGGCTGCTGCTTTTCAATTGTGTTTCCAGATGGAAACACAGTGGTTGCTTTTCCCCAAGGGGGGTAGCAATTCCTTTCTGTGGCTGCCTCTGAAAGCTGTATAGCAGTGATCCAGCTGTGATCCATAGTGAGTGTGGCTTGCAGTAGTTAGGTTGAAGTTACATGAGTGAAATGTGAGCTGTAGGTCACTGATGTAGACTGTGTGGGTTTAAACTGATGAATGACTAAAAACATGGCTGAAATGAGTTTGGTGTAGACAGCCAGGGGAAACATACTGGAGGAACATTCTGTTAGAGCTGTGAGGGGGTGTGATGGGATGTCCCTGGATTTGAGTGGATTTTGTGAGTGTGTGAAAGAGCATATTCCAGATAAAACAGGGTGTGTAGGTGCTCTTTTAACAAATGGATTTGATGACATCAGCCACCTTGTGGTACCTCCTGGGATAAATGCTGTGACAGTCCCCAATTAGTGTGTGGCCTCTGTGTACAGTACAGCTGCTGAAGGGAGCCTCAGTGTTATGTCGTATGTCAGAGCAAGACTAACCATAGCATTCCAGTCAAAGATAAACAAGTAGAGGAGATTCACAAATGTCTTTGTGACTGGGTCGTTCTCTGCCAGCTAAGTGTCTGATTTCAGCCTTCAAAGCCGCAAAAGGAGAAAACTCCTCTTTGTTGGAGCTGAGCTGCCCAATGAGACAAATGTTTGGCTTTAAGTGTAGCTCAGCAGGCTGCTCCTCTTTGCCTTTTACAGTTATTCTCAGGCACTGAGCAGGAAAAAAAACTGTTATGGTTTCCTCTCTGAGCACTGGTGGAAGTTATAATTCCCTTTCCAGGAGTTGCTGCTCACAAGAAGCACAGTTGATGTGTCTGCTATCTTAAGTCTGCATGAGTCTGTTTCCACATTCCCTCACAGACTAAATCATAGACCTAGTTAGAAATATTAGACATCTGTTAGGAATTGCTTTTAGAATTCACCTTATCTTCCCTTTATTGTTTGACCAAAAAAAAAAAAAAAAAATCTTAAATCAGGGTAAACTTCGTAGCTTTTTCTGGAAGGTTCAAAAATGAAAAGCTCCAGACAAAGCCAGTAAGGGGACTTTTTGTCAGGTTACTTGCTACCAGTGTTAAGAATGGCACACTCACCTTTACTTTGTTTAATTCTGTGTGTTTCTACAGGCTGCCGGAAATGCTGTGAAGAGGGCCTCTGATAACCTGGTGAAAGCAGCACAGAAAGCAGCATTTGATGCTCAGGATGACCAGGCTGTGGTGGTCAAGAGTAAGATGGTGGGAGGTATTGCTCAGGTGAGTCAAAAGCCCCTTTTACAGCCAGATTTTCCGCGAATGTTGGGCTGTTTTGCCTGCAAGCGTTGAGACACAGAGCCGGATTGGCGAGTTGATCCAAGGTGCCCAATTTTCCGAGGCGGCCTTCCGCAACGGGAGCGGCTGTTGAAGACTTGTGGGAGGAGCTGTTGATGACGCCGCACGTGCGACCCACTGGTGGTGGATAAACAGGAAACAGCTGTCATAGCACGAATGAGCAACTAGTAGCAAGAGGGAAACACAAACCTGACAGACACTGTAAAGATGAGCAACTGGGGAGACAAGGAATTGCACACCCTCCTTGCCCTCGCAAACAAAGAGGCCATTAACCATCAGATGACGGGAACGATGAAGAACGGGCCGATTTATGAGAGAATCGCCGAAGGACTGACTAGCCGTGGCTTCCCACGTCACTGTTTACATCACAACACTGAGCTACACGTTTTGTTACTTACTCACGCCCCCCATTGCCCCGAAAAAGGCACATTCTGTATAAACAAAAGCAGGTAGGCGGCATTTTGCCGCACTCCCCGATTTTGTTTTTATACTGCCAATGCTGAAAAAAGAGTGATTGGGCTTTCCTGCAAATTTGCACAATTCCTAACTAAAAAGGGCTAAAGATCCCACACACAACGGGAGCACAAATGTAGCCACCCAAATATTGAACCTATATTTACACTTACTCAAAGTAACTACATATATATCTATATATACAGTACAGGCCAAAAGTTTGGACACACCTTCTCATTCAATGCGTTTTCTTTATTTTCATGATTATTTACATTGTAGATTCTCACTGAAGGCATCAAAACTATGAATGAACACATGTGGAGTTATGTACTTAACAAAAAAAGGTGAAATAACTGAAAACATGTTTTATATTCTAGTTTCTTCAAAATAGCCACCCTTTGCTCTGATTACTGCTTTGCACACTCTTGGCATTCTCTCCATGAGCTTCAAGAGGTAGTCACCTGAAATGGTTTTCCAACAGTCTTGAAGGAGTTCCCAGAGGTGTTTAGCACTTGTTGGCCCCTTTGCCTTCACTCTGCGGTCCAGCTCACCCCAAACCATCTCGATTGGGTTCAGGTCCGGTGACTGTGGAGGCCAGGTCATCTGCCGCAGCACTCCATCACTCTCCTTCTTGGTCAAATAGCCCTTACACAGCCTGGAGGTGTGTTTGGGGTCATTGTCCTGTTGAAAAATAAATGATCGTCCAACTAAACGCAAACCGGATGGGATGGCATGTCGCTGCAGGATGCTGTGGTAGCCATGCTGGTTCAGTGTGCCTTCAATTTTGAATAAATCCCCAACAGTGTCACCAGCAAAACACCCCCACACCATCACACCTCCTCCTCCATGCTTCACAGTGGGAACCAGGCATGTGGAATCCATCCGTTCACCTTTTCTGCGTCTCACAAAGACACGGCGGTTGGAACCAAAGATCTCAAATTTGGACTCATCAGACCAAAGCACAGATTTCCACTGGTCTAATGTCCATTCCTTGTGTTTCTTGGCCCAAACAAATCTCTTCTGCTTGTTGCCTCTCCTTAGCAGTGGTTTCCTAGCAGCTATTTGACCATGAAGGCCTGATTGGCGCAGTCTCCTCTTAACAGTTGTTCTAGAGATGGGTCTGCTGCTAGAACTCTGTGTGGCATTCATCTGGTCTCTGATCTGAGCTGCTGTTAACTTGCGATTTCTGAGGCTGGTGACTCGGATGAACTTATCCTCAGAAGCAGAGGTGACTCTTGGTCTTCCTTTCCTGGGTCGGTCCTCATGTGTGCCAGTTTCGTTGTAGCGCTTGATGGTTTTTGCGACTCCACTTGGGGACACATTTAAGTGGAACCACTTGTGTTTTTATTTTGAAGCACCCAGATCGTCTCGAGCAAGAATTGTTGTAGTCTCTTACACAGACGCCGATGACATCAGCAAGCTGGCTGACTCTGTCGTGTGGACATTCCCATAGGAAAGTTGTAATAGAGCTAGCGCTGGCTCCCAGTGGCAGTGAATGTGATTGGATCCAAATCCGTGTATTTCCGTACTTCCTCGACCAACACTCGATTAGCTTTGCCTTACACCCGCCTACACCGGAATTGCTGTTCCCCTAATTGCTGTCCATAGTACAACAGAAAAGTAAGTGTTCAGTGCATCGCAAGAAGAGATTAAAATGGATTTGATTCACCTCTATTGCAGAGCTGCAACGTCTCTGTTACATGTAACACACGTGTCGCACCTATGGCAACGCCGTCACGTGGTGTGGATATCCCTGCCCATTTCTATTACAAAACGAAAGACGAATGTCCCCAGACTCCCATTCCAAAGTAAGGGAGGCTGGTCACGCAAGACTAGAATTGTTGATGTTCTTACTGTGGACAAAGCCAACGGTTGGATGTATGCAGTTAGCACAAAGTTACACTGTTGCCACTGCACCTTTAAATGTTAGGATTTCTTCACTCTGAGCTAAAAACAAACTAACAGCTCTCCAGTTCATATAATAATAATCTTTGCAAGTCTCAGTGGTGCTTCATGATCACAAAATGTGACTAAATGGTAACGTTAGCGATCTGGAGCCATGCAGATAAAAAACACGCTTCAATCTGCTCACACACTGTTGTTTGAGAGAAAGTGTTCTGGGTGGGCAGAGGAGCGTGTGTGTGACATATCATGTTTGTAATTCTTTGTTTGTCTATGTCTATGAGAGGGAGAGAGCAGAAGGAGAGAGCAAGAGGGCCGAAACAGCAAAGCAAGTCTCATGCTGGTGTCATAAGGAAACATTGCGACCCTTTATACTTGATGTTTGCAGTGTAGTCATTTTATTCATCCCACGTGGAACAAGCTGCAATACATTTGATATATCACCTACCCGTAGCTTGAGGCATAGTACACATGCACATGTTTACGCGTGATCATCTCCACCTTATTTGGAGCCAGGAATAACCATGTTAATGTAACAAGTGACTTATGAGAACCCCATGCTCACCACTTGAGGCTCGCTGGAGATTCCAAAGCTTGACAGATCTGCCTAGTTCTGGTTTCTAAAGTAAAGCTGCTTAGAGAAACGGTGAGGGGTTTGGTGAGAAGTCAGTTGTTATATTTTGTGATTGGATGTGTGGATAAAGCTGGTGTTTCATCAGTGTGTTGACAGACTGTGCTGTGTTGCAGATCATCGCCGCTCAGGAGGAGATGCTGCGGAAAGAAAGGGAGCTGGACGAGGCCAGGAAGAAGCTGGCCATGATCAGACAGCAGCAGTACAAGTTCCTCCCTTCAGAGCTGCGGGAGGACGGCCAGGAACAGTGAGAGTGTGTGTGTGTACATCAGTAATGCAACAGTGATCCGTGGAATGCTCAGGACCTTCCCCCAGCTACATGTAGAGAGACATGGCTTCATGCTTCAGTAGAAACGTAACATTAGGCAGATTGACTCCAATTCCACAGTGATGTATCAGGATGGTTATTATCAATCTGTTTCTATATTTAATTTTGAAAGTCAGAAGTGTTATGATGATTATGAGTTTGATAATACAGAAATATATGTATGCCTTAAATCCTTATTAAGGTATATTTGCTTTTGACTATATATGATCATATACTTTTGAAATATATCTGGCGCTTTTCTTGTCCTTTGTATCTGGATAGCGTGTCTTTGTGTACATGCTGTGTGGCTTCGTAAAGTAACAAAATCCTGCCAATAAATTCTGCTCGCCTTCACTGTTAGAACTTTAATGTTAGATCATAGAGATATGAAGGCAAGCACAATTTAGGCTTTTATGCAAATTATGCATAATCTATGCAAATTTTCTATGGAGATGTGTTGTGTTTTTTTGTGTTAGTGTGCATGTTTAGAGGCAAAGAGACGCAATGTCTAAGTGATTGTGAAGCAGAGGTGTGTGGTGACCACATGGACAGTGATGATCTTCAGTACATTACTTTTAATACTGAAAAAAGGACAAATGGAGTTTTAATGTTTGAATTTGGTAAAATTAACTTTGCAATGGAACAAATCAGAGTAAATAAACGTTATTTTTCTAAAGATTGAGCTATAAAATGTATTAAAATGGAATTTTTCAATAAGTGGCTGTCTTAGTAAAAGTTTTTCGTGTAAGTATTTTGACTTAAGCAGCTCCAGCATTTAGGCCTAGATAAGATTAGAAGATTTGTTTGTGTGAAGATTATAAAGCCATATATTTAACTTTAAGACATGTGACATCATATTGACTGTATTTGGGTGTTCATTGTTTTGTGACTCACTCCAGTGACATGTTATCTGTGCCAATATTAGTGTCTGACACAGTGACAAAGTTGTAGTTCAGATTTTTTAAATTGGGGTTGTATGAAGTCCTCATCTATTGTCAATGTGCTACCAACAGTAGATGTCAGTTGGCACAGTTGGAAGTAGGCAGGAGTCCAACACAGACACAGCGTGTGTGTGTGTGTGTGTGTGTGTGTGTGTGTGTGTGAGAGAGTGTGACTTTGGTGTTTCAAGGGGTTAGTCAGGATTCACCAAAGTCACACAATAACAAACTAACTAACTGATCGAAGCAGCAGTAGACCAGCAGCTCCTGTGTCCAGCAAGCCAAAATTACTGTTTATGTCAATGGCATCTGGTGGCTTTAAAGAGAGCATAGATGGGGAACTAAAGCCGTTGAAGACTTCCCTGTTGGAACAGACTGCTTTCTGTATTCTGCTGCCGACCCCTATCCACAGCAGTACATTGCTTAGCTTCCATTTCAGCACTCCTGCCACTTCTCTGACCATGGACCACCTCATACAACCCTACTTCAAAAAAGCTGAACTATTCCTTTATTTTCTAGAGAATTCCTGTCTTAGTACAATCCTGTGATTCCAGTCTGAGGTATATATGTTCTGTTCACCTAATGCTTTCGTGTTAGATATTACTTGCGTAGAGTTCAGATTATTTCTCATTACCAAGGGCCTAATGTGAGCTCACTCTTTGTTCCCAGTATATCAGTGCTTATAAAGTGCCTTCGTATAATTGTCTCAAGTATTATAATCTGCTAAAATCATTTACCCTTTCGATGCACTTAATTCATAACCCATTTCAATAATTTATCAGAACATCATGAAATCCACCCTTACACCACACGTGTCTTTACTTTCTTTAACTATGATTTTTAGAGCAAACATGGCACAGCTACAGCAGCGTGCCTGATATAAAAATGACTGTTATCATACAAAGCCTTTGTCTTTTGCTCACATTTTGACTTAAATTCCAGCAGCACCACCTCATGGGTACTGTAACAGAGATTTATATTCAATAAAGCCAATTTTCTGTGAAACTGTTGACATCCGTTTCTTAACATTTTGACATTCACTTATTTTCACCCTGTTGATGAGAGAAAGACGCTCCTGGACAGAAGAAATTTTCTGCAGTAATACTTTACTCAGGGTTACACTCATGTATGCTACTGTGAAGGAAACATCATGCAGCCTGTCCTGTGTATAACTAGACTGTATAAAAGTTCATGTTGAACTGCATTTTAAATGTAAGTGTTCATAACCAGCACAATTTGCTGTTAATCATATATCATATGGGTTTGCTCTCTGTTTTTTAGTCTGTATTCCCATAATATCTGTTGCAACTACAGCATTACTGAGATTTAGTCAGGCATGGCCGGATTAACTTCTTTTAGGGCCTTTGGGCAAAAATAAATTGTAAACCCCCCTTCGTCCTTCGCTGTGCACTGTGCACAGTAGTTATCTGTTGGAATCAAAGGTTGTAAAATTAATGGATGTAGGTACCATGACATCAATCCTTGGTTTTCATTCAGCATTTCTGCTGTCGTATTTTTTTGTTTGTTTGTTTTAACCCAGAAGTGACCATATTTGGGCAAGAGGCTGGTGATGTGGAGGAGAGCAGGGTGGATCTGATTGAGAAGATAAGGACACTGTCACTCCAAGTGGCCCGCACTTAATTATGCATAACTTTAAGCCTTCATAAAATGTAAACAGTTGAGTTATTAATTCACCCCGTACAGTTGTAATGAATGTTGAAATTAGCTATAGAGACCAAAACAGTTTTTGTATTAGAATGTAAACATGTTTCTTTCTTCTTTTTTTTTATCTTTTTTTTTTTTTTGAACTCTTCATTGAGGTCTTGGGCATGCTGGGCATCAATAAAAAGCATCCAAGTGCGATTATATCTCCCAAGTGAACCCCTCAAAGTGAAAAAGGGGTTTGAGAGCGAGAGACTTTTGGAGCCAGCCTCAAGTGGCAGTTCAAAGACGTGCAGTTTTTGGCACTTTTGCTTTGGCTTCAATTTTCAGTCTCAGAGGCTGCTGCTTGTTTGGAAAACTACCTGACCCCAGGTTTGCTGTGTGGTAATTTAATTAATCACAAATGAATTTAGGCGTGTAAGTACCATGTAACCACAACATTGCCTGAAATATCTTAAAGCTGGATTTCAACACTGGGACACTCTTTAAGACACAGCCTCATGACCAGATAATAAATTATGACTTATTTTGATACTGTACTTTAGTAGAACATGTTCCCATATTGTGAAACAAAGATACAAGTAATCAAATTACTTCAAACTCCTAGCCACAAGTGCCCTTGGGGCTTTTCGTTCCTCTAGGGACCCTTTTGGCCTTGGTAATCCAAACTTCTAGTTTGGTTTCTTATCTAACCACACCCTCACTCTTCCTTGTGTAAAACACACATCACACTTCTTCAGTAATGCTTCTGAATGATAACAGTGAATGTTACTCTCTTCTGCAAATCAATTATTTATGAATGCAGTTAATTAGAAACATGGTTGCAACTTGATGTAGACTTGTAGTCTTGTCATGCTGTGCTCCCTCTTGTGTGCCCATTCTGTTTGATGCCCACCCAGCTTGCTCTGAGTGACAGCAGGGCCACACCTCACTCACACAGCTCAAAACATGAAAATAGACATGACAGATGGAAAAGAGGAAATGGAGGGTCAAGAAAGGGATATGCCTGTTGTAATTCACAGCTCATTTTCTGTTTTTGGATTACGGTTCGCTATGGTATCTGCACTGTGTTGTCTTATTTCCACTGTTTAAAATGGAATCTCTTCTGTCTTGGTCATTTCAGGTACTTTTACCACCTGTATTTCCATTTCATGCTTCCTCTATCAACCATTTTCAACCCTATTTTCCCATGTTTCTGTGTCCAAGTAACGAAAGGAAACCACAGTTTTGACATTGATCCAGTCCAGGCCGAAAACCCAAAGTTTCCCTTTAAGTTAAATAAGCGGTTAAGACTTATTTCTTTCTTTCTTTCTTTCTTTCTTTCTTTCTTTCTTTCTGTCTATTAAGAAAGTGAAAATGATTTTATTCACGTTTTTCTCATAATCTTCCGACAGGTTGAACTTTTTCTCAAAGGCATCTTGGGTGTAAGTTGAAGAGTAGAATTGTGTTACCTGCTGATGTCCAGGTGGAGATCTTACGCGCTTGAACGTGATTTATTCCCACATGCTGCAGACAGACGTCACGCACACAGACAGCTCTCACTGCCTAAATATGGACAACGTCCCAGTGCGGATCCTTAATGGAAAAAAGTGAAGGGCTCATCCAGCTGGTACTCCATCCTCGAGCTCTCCCCGAGCCGCTCAGACAAGCCGCACGCGAGCTCCTGTCCACCTCAGTCCCTGTCACAGACCGGTGCCTCTATCTCTGTCTCTGTCTCTGTCCGGACTAACCCAGCAAACGTCTCCCTTTGCTGAGAGCACACAACCTGAAGCACCATGGAGGCCATCAAGAAGAAAATGCAGATGCTGAAGCTGGATAAGGAGAACGCGATAGACCGGGCAGAGCAGGCTGAAGGGGACAAGAAGGGAGCAGAGGACAAATGCAAACAGGTAGCCTATACTGCGATGGAGCTATACTACACTTCACAAACAACTTAACCAGCTTCTCGCCTGAAATGAAAGGCAGTATTCCTTTATAGTGTCTTCGCATAGGCGTTTTCTCATAAATTGTCGGTATTCGAGAATGTCTTATCTTTAAATGAAATACATAAGATAATTTTTTAACAATAAAACATTAAAAGGGAACTCAAACAAACAACAACATAAAAGTTAGAGAAGAACAAACTTGACCAAGTCTGTAAAGTTTGTCAAGACTGAAAAAAAAAACAGATTTTAGTGTGTTCCAAGTGGAACACACTAAAATCTGTTTTTTTCTTCAGTAATATATGGATATTGTATGTATGTATGTATGTATATTGTGATATAAGACTGGATATCGTCTTAGATTTTGGATGTCATAAGTGCTCTGGATTTAAAGGCTGCATTGGACTGAACTTACCAGACTGTTCTATTGTTTGCCTTTACACACTTATGTCCACATTATTTATCAAAAAATCTTATAGTGTAAATATTTTGTCCAAGCACCAATAGTCAACCCCACAATATCATTGCAAAATTGACAGTGTGATCTTTCATCGCAAATATCATGATATTTGATTTTTCTGTATACTGGCCAGCTCTATTTCCAAGGCATGATGGATTAAATCAGTCAGGACCTCAGCAGCATCTGTAGGGTTTCTATTAGCTAAGGCTCAGCTGGGGTTAATAACTTTGAAAACCACCAACAACCTTAGAGCATGACATCTATTCCCTTTATTAGATAGTGGACAGTAAAAAAAAAAAAAACAAAAAAAAAAAAACAGGAAATGAGATGCTTCATTTGAGATCTGAGATCTGAACTTTTGTCACACAGCACATTTAATCCTCTCATGGCACAGTGCCCTTGCAGACTGGATGTGATGATGATGAGCATGCCATGGAACATATGACCAAAGTCTGTGAGGGCTCAGTGTGTAAGTTTAGAGGGTGGACATCACCATCCAGTACGCTTAGAATTTGCTGCCCCCTGACAAATCCAGCTACACTTTCCAGCTATGAAGTAGGAAATTAGCCACAGCTTTATGGATTACTTGCAGTCTCTCCTGTGCAGCTCCACTGTGTATAGATAGGATATAATATATAGCAGCAATTTAACTATGCAACTGTCCACATAGCATTTGTTCCCAGGGGATCCCAGCTAGTAGCTATTACAATGCCTGTACAATCACTTCTCTCTGCCAGTCTAGGAGCATTGAATACTGGCATGTCTATTTCTGTAGCTCCCCCCCACCTTCTTTGAATTGTTGCTCCTCTCAGAAAGACAGTCAAGGCTGTTGGTTTGGGAGTTGCCACAATGTCGACTGTAGGATCAGGACTGTCCCAGGCTATTTGTGACTGAGAGGCCTTACATGGCTACAGTCTGGGAGAGACTGTCAGAAGTGATATAGAAAGGACATTTGTCCTGGGAACATTGTGGTCGGGCCACATTACTGTTATTTACAATTGGCTTTTTATAGTTCTTGAAGCTGTTGTTCCAATGGCAACTCACTGAAACAATCTTTGAAAATGAGTCATCGGATAACAAATGCCTTAAGTCCAAAATCGAAGGGCTCATCATGTTGGGAGCAAGAAAACTGCTTGTCAGGGGGTCATTAAGATAAAAAAAAGGGGTTTATCATTTTGGGAGAATGAATATGCTCATCAGATTTAATGACAATCTGCCTATTAGATCATCATCAGATCATCGTCATTATGGTTTGGGACACTCTAATGATGATGATCTGCCTATTAGATCATCATCATTAGAGTGTCCCAAACCATAAGGGCTCATCCTCTGGGGAACATAAATTTACTGGGTGGTAGTGGGGTGTGGCTACATATTGTTTGCGCATATGATGTATAAGATGGCACACTTGTGTATTTTGGTCATATGTTTGTGACAGTCACTGTTAACTGTGATGTTAAGGCCTTGTCCACACGTACAGGAATTTTTTGAAAACAAATATTTTCCTTTATGTTTTGACCTCTTGTCCACACGCATTTGAAGGCTTTTGAAAACATCTTCTAAGGTGCAGATTTTTCAAAACAACTGTTTCTGTGTATCTGTGTGGTATTGTTGCAACGATATCAGATTTCCAAGGTACAATAACCGTCTCTAAAAAAATATCGTTATTTCAAGTTTTAATGAAAGTCTGTGTAAAAAGTGTTTATTTTGACAATAACTTAAAAAAAGTGAGCTCATCTGTCCAGTTGCATTTTTTTCAATATCATAGATAAGCAAATGTACACGGTATGATGACCATTCATTTTTTATATTACAGTATACCTTGAAATCAGTATACTGCTGCATGCCTACTGTGTGGACATGGAATGTGGGTTTGGGAAATAATGACATCACCTCAGTTTGCACCTGCCCATTGTTGCTTTGTGCAATGAGCATTCTTTGGTGCTAAAGGAAAGGTCAAT